TGGGGGGGGGGGTTGGCTGGTGTGAGGCGTGTGAGCTCGCCTGGCCCTCCAAGTCCCGGGTTCTCAGATCGGTCACCAGGCAGGTGCTGGGTGACCCCAGCGGGTCTGTCCCCCCAGCCCCACCACAGGAACACCGGGGGAGGGCAGACACCTCAGGAAACCCGTGAACATTCACATCTGACAAGTCCAGTGGCATCTGTCCTGCCTCAGTGACACAGTAAAAGTGGCAGCAGCCTCGGTTTTCTAGCCAAACAACAAACTGGCAGAAAGGAAATGGCTGCCAGTGTCTCTGCTCCCCCAGGACCTCACCTAGGGATCCAATGTACCAGTCCCCTCGCGGGCGGAGTGTGTGTGGGTTGTCACCAGCCAGCCTCGACCCCCGCAGGAGCTCCCCCGTGGCGTGCGGAGCTCTGCTGTCACCTGTTTTCAGGAGGGTCCTCTGGCAGCTTGCGCCTCTGTGGCCCCAGCCTGCGCCCAGCCCTAGTCTCTACCTCCCCTTCCAAGGCGGCCCCGTCTGTCCCGGTCCTGTGCCAGGTCAGAACCCGTGTCCTCCGTCACCAGCACACCTGAGACGGTGGTTCACGTTCTCACTGCGTCGGTTCCTCAGTTCGTCTCCTCCCGGCCAGGCCTCGGACATGCCTGGATGACCGGGGCCCTTCGTGTCAGCAGAGCCCCACTCAGCTGTCACACTCCCCTTGTGAATGGGGAAGGATAAGTTGTGTCACCGAGGGCGAGGCCGGTGGGAAGTGAGGGCAGGAGACTATGAAGTCAAGGGTATGGGTCTTTCCAAGAATTCAAGGGAATATGCCCCGGTGGCCTCGAGATGGGGCTAGAAAAGTGACCTTGGCTTTAAGTGGCCAAAACAAGGAGGCCGCCTGATTGGTCAGAGAAATCAGGTGTCCCTGAGGTGGAAGCAGCCAGTCGATCCAGAGCTGCGCACTCCCAGCAGGGAGAGGCCTGCGAACTGGTCCCGGTGGACTTTGGCCACTGTGGGCCCTTCCTTGGCAACAGCCTGCCCTGTGAGCTATTTTCTAACCTCCACGGCCGGACCCACGGCTGCGATGCCCGGTCACAGCACAGCCCGAGCTCGGCCCCTGCAGGCACTGGTCTGACCCGGGGCTGAAATTGACCTCCGAGGTCAACATCAGCCCTGGCGAGAGTCGTGCGTTACTTGTGCCGAAGGGAAAACCCTCCCGCACCCAGTTCCCATGACAGCTCCACTCTGTGCCACACGGGAGCCCTTCAGGAAGGGTTCAGGGGCGTGGGCCTGGAATCAACCGCAGGTGGCATCCTGCAGGGGCGCGTGGCTTTGGTCCCGACCTGACTGTGGACTTCTCCTAGGGGTCACCCAGGACCTCGGCACTCATAACCCAGGCTCAACAGGCCCCATACTAGGGATGAGAAGTTGTCCCCTGGGGGTGAGGGTGGGTCAGGTGCCCTGTCTCAGCAGGAGACAGCAGCTGCCACCCAGTGACCCTGTAGCTCAGACATTTCGGGGCATGGAGTTCAAGGGTCATGTCTCAAGCCACGGGGGCTAGGAGGGCGGTGAACTGTCACCGAATGTCACAGAGCTGCCCACATGGAGATTCACACCCAGTTCCACCTGGAGGCAGGAGTTAAACCCCGTGGCCGCCGTGGCTGCAGCGAACAGTGTGTGTGAATTTAAATGAATGTAGAAGGTTCTTGCTGAGGTGGGACCAGTCTGTGGTCTTGGGAGGATGGTCTTGGGGCCGATGGCTCGGCTGCAGGCAGCTCTCAATGACAAAGATCCCACTGGACCAGACCTCGGCCCCACACACTCTGGCTGCCGATCATGTGCTCCTTGCCAGCCACCCCCCCTTGGTGGCACATTTCCTTAGGTGATCCTCTTGGTGACACGTGTCCTTAGGCATCCCCCCTTGGTGACACGTGTCCTTAGGTGTCCCCCCTTGGTGGCACATGTCCTTAGGTGTCCCCCTTGGTGACACGTGTCCTTAGGTGTCCCCCTTGGTGACATGTGTCCTTAGGTGTCCCCCCCTTGGTGACACGTGTCCTTAGGTGTTCCCCCTTGGTGGGACATGTCCTTAGGTGTCCCCCCTTGGTGACACGTGTCCTTAGGTGTTCCCCCTTGGTGGGACGTGTCCTTAGGTGTCCCCCTTT